GTGGAATTAGGTCATCCCGGCGCCCATCGGAAATGAAAATTACATCATCGCGCGGGGCTGTCCTCAGATAAAAGGGCTGCAGCTGTTTCCCTCATCAGCTCCCAGCAGCTCTGCACTCGGGGTCATGCTGAGGGCTATTTTAATTAAACACAACCTCCCCCAGCCACTCTGACCTCGGCTGGTGCCTAAGTTGGGTTGAGCCCCATCCCGGACTGGACCCTCATCTTCCTCCCCGCTCCTCCCACGAGCAGGAGCTCCTGTTCCATCTGCAGCCAGAACTTCAGCAGAAAGAAAGGCAATTGCACCCCAAAGGGCACCCCCAGCACTGGATGGGCAGCCCTGGCACCTCGCAGCACCCTCAGGCAGGGAGCAGCATCCCCGTTCCTGCAGGTCGGGTGATTGATCAGGGAGAGGAGTTCCCCATGCTCCCATCTCCTCCAGGAAAACTCACACGACAAATAAAAAGCCCTGTTTAAAATAACTAAATAAGGCACTTAAAGAGGTTTTAAAAATTGATAACTCCGTGCACGGCATCGATCTTCATTACTGCCCAGGTGGAATTTTTTTTTTTTTTTCCCCCTCTTCTGGCTTTTTTCAGCTCAAAAACCTCACCCGCCCACGCCGGCCCCATTAATGAGAAACGTCAAGGGCTCCTTAACAATGTCCTTTCATCAGCCCGAGGCGCTGCCAGCATCCCGCTCCCGTCAGTTCGCACCTCCCGGCCCAGCTCCTGCATCCCGGCCGCGAGTGATGGAGCGCAGAGCCCCGGCTCCGGCCGGGCTGGGCACCGCCTCCGGCCCCAAAGCCCCGGCAGACACGGCCGGGATGCTCCGCATGGGGCTGGGGAGCGGCCTGGCTCCCCAGCTCCGCATCGCCCCGCCGGGGAAGCAGCAAAACGTGGGGGCTGCCCTCCCCCGGCCTCCAGCCCGCAGCGATGGGGCCAAGGATGCTCGTCCTGCATCCCCCCGGGGAAAACGGGGAGAGGAAAAGGGTTGGGAAGAGTGGGCAAGGGAGGGGATTCGTGGCTGGGTAAAAACGATTGACGTGAGAAAAATGGGGGTGGGAAGAAGAAAAGCACGTGGAGAGGTGAGGTTTGAGGGCAGGGAGGGAGAAAAGGTTTGGTGAGGACACGGGTTGTGGGGGGAAAAAGAGAGGATTGGGAAAAAAGGAAAAAAGAAGGGAAAAATGAGAATAAAAGGGAAAAAATAGGAAAAAAGAGAAGAAAAGAAAAAAGAGAGAAAAAGTAAAGAGAGAAAAGGAAAAAGAAAAAATAGGAAAAAAGGGAAGAAAAAGAGAAAAAAAGGAAAAAAATTGCAAAAAAAGAGAAAAAAATAAAGAGAAGAAAATAAGAAAAAATAGAGAAAAAGAGAAGAAAAAGAGAAAAAAAGAAAAATGGGAAAAAAGAGAAGAAAATAAAAAAGAGAAGAAAATAAAAAAGAGAAAAAAACTAAGGAGAGAAAGGTAAAAAGAGAAAAAGAGAAAAGAGAAAAAAGTAAATATAAAGAGAGAAAAAAGGGAAAAGGAAAAAGGAAAAAGAAAAAGAAAGAAAAAAGAAAAAAGAAGAAGAGAGGAAAAAGAAAAAGAGAAAAAAGAAAAAAGAAAGAAGAAAAAAGAAAAAAGAAAAAAGAAAAAAGAAAAAAAGAAAAAAAAAGAAAAGAAAAAAAGGAAGAGAAAAAAGAGAAAAAAGAAAAGTAAAAAGAGAAAAAAAAAGAGTAAAGAGGAAAAAAAAGTTTAAAAAAGGCTAAAAAGAAAAAGAGAAAAAGAATATAAAAAGGAGGAATAAAGCAGAAAATGGGAGCAGTGGGAGCAATGTCTCTGTGCCCGTGTGTGTGTTTGTGTTTCTCACACCCTACAGGCACTGTTGGGAACCTGGGCAGGGCCTTGGCCAAGCTGCACAGCCCAAAGAGGGAAAATTTCCCTTTTTCCCTTTGTTTTTCCCGAGGAGCGCAGGGCACGGCTCCCCTTCTCCGAGGGTATAAAAAGGAGCACAATTAAACCTGTAAATGCAATTCTTCAAGGGGTTTTGCGTTCCTGGAAGGTTCTTATCGGGAAATTATTCTTGAAATAGTCCCTAAATCTTCCAGGATTCCCCTTGGGATACTGCGCTGTAAGTTTTTAAGGAATTTTCTAAAGGTTTAATCATTTTTGCATTTTCTTTAAGGAAGCAGCTTTGCAACACCACCTTTCCTAATAAATAACCATGTTAATAGCAAGTCTCTTGGAGCTGGGTGCAACACAATATTTATAGATAATCTAAATTTAAAGTAGGGGGAAAAATGATTAAAAGTGGCAATCTGTGATTTTTCCAGAAGAAATAATCATAGTGGCATAGAATGGTTTGGGGTGAAAAGGATCTTAAAAATCATAATAGTAATAATGATAAGGATAAAAATAATAATAGTAATAGATGTTAAAAGAAACAATAGTTTAAAATCACCACTCATTTCTAACTTAATGGGATTTGGAAAGTGTCCTACCAACATCAGCAATGCCACTGATAAAGAAAATATCAATATCACTTCAAAAAAGTTCCCAATGCTTGAGAACTGCTTAAAAAAAAATGAAATAGAAACTCTGAAGGGCCAGAACTTGCTCGCCCCAATCAGATGACTAATTCCTCTAATTCCAAAGGCCAGGAAATTTGGGCACATCTCGAGAAAGGTCCCCATCACGCCAATGAATCGTTTTTCTGTTCGAGATGCCTCCAGTCTGAGCTCATTACGCCGCAAACCCGGCGTGCATGGAAGTGATCTGTAACAATCCTGAGGCCTGGGGCCCTTTTCCATTTGGGATTGATACATGGGGTGGAATCTACATTTTTCATCGAACAGTACAACCAGTGTGGCTGCAGTTCTGCTGCAAATCCGATGCAGGAAATACAAGAGAGTCCTTCAAAAATATTCCCACTTGCCTTGGACTGGCTGCAGAGCTTGTTTGTAAGGGGAAAAAAAATAAGAACCTGCTGCAAAATTCAGTTTCTTCCCTGGTCAAGGGCATCTATTTCATTCTCAATGTAATTCTGCCAAAACAAATATTATGTTTGACTCTTTCATTATCCCTGGCCCTGGGAAGGGGCTGGAGCAGTGTGCTGGTCTGGGATGCTGCAGGCCAGGATGTGCCAAGAGCGTGGCCAGGCTGGATGGGGGCACTGGCAGGGCAGGGAAAGCCAATTCCCAGGAAAAAAGCACAAGGCTGGTGCCTGCCAGGGGGCAGGGGCTGGCTTGTCACATATAGGGGGTGTGGGGTGCTTTCATCAGCTCCAGCCACCATCCTCATCCTCACCAATGGGATGGGCACCCTGGGCATCTGTGGGGGCAGAGAGTGACCCAAACCCAACCCAACCCCAAATCCCTGCACCTCCTTGGTGCTGCATTATTTTATTTTATTACTACTTTGTTTATATTAAAAAAACCCCCATATATATATATATAAATTTGTCTATTGCTCTAATATGTCTTTTATATGTATGTATAGATGTATGTATGTATGTATGTATATATGTATGCATATTTATGTATATGGCCACACACAAATACATGTATTTCACGAAAGCCGGGTGCATTTTGGGGTGCCCAGGGTTTTGTTTCTGTTCAAAGCCCCCCAGAACCCCCGAACCCGGGGGGACCCGGCCCCGCCGCGCCCCCAGCCCTGCGCCGCGCGCCCTCTGTCGGGCAGCGCCAGAACTGCAACCGCCTGTCCCTGTCCCTGTCCCTGTCCCCGTCTCCAAATGTCCCTGTCCCCAAATGTCCCCGTCCCCAAATGTCCCTGTCCCTGACCCTGTCCCCTTATCCATCCCTCCCTGTCCCCGTCCCCAAATGTCCCTGTCCCCAAATGTCCCTGTCCCTGTCCCCAAATGTCCCTGTCCCCAAATGTCCCCGTCCCCAAATGTCCCTGTCCCTGTCCTTAGCCCTGTCCCTGACTGTCCTTAACCCTGTCCCTGTCCCTGTCCCCAAATGTCCCTGTCCCCAAATGTCCCTGTCCCCAAATGTCCCTGTCCCCAAATGTCCCTGTCCCTGTTCCTGTCCCCAAATGTCCCTGTCCCTGTCCCTGTCCTTAGCCCTGTCCCTGACTGTCCCTAACCCTGTCCCTGTCCCTGATTGTCCCTGTCCTTAGCCCTGTCCCTGACTGTTCCTGTCCCTGTCCTTGTCCCTGTCTGTCCCCATCTCCGTGTCCCTGTCCCTGTCCTTGTCCCTGTTCCTGACTGTCCCTATCCCACCTCCACCTGTCCCTCTCCATCCCTGACTGACTCTGTCCAAGTCCCTTTCCCTGTCCATCCCTTCTTGTCCCTGTCCTGTCACCCTGAGCCTGTTCCTGCCCATCCCCAGCTTTTCTATCCCATCTTTTCCCTGTCCCTGTCTCCCTGTCCATCCCTGGCTGTCCCTGCCCACCCTGTCCACTTGACCTGTCCTGTCCCTCTCTGACTGACCCTGTCCCTTCTTCTGTCCCTTCTTGTCCCTGCCCTGTCCCGCTCTGTCCCATGCCTGTCCCTGCCCATCCCCTCCTTGCCCCATCCCTGCCTGTCCCTGCCCACCTGAATCCCTGACCCAGAACAGGATTTCATTCCCAAAATTGGCTGTTTCCCTGGGAAAGGCATCACCTGCCCCAGTCCCAGCACTCCCCATCCCTGTCCCCACAAAAACAAAGTCACATCCCTGAAAAAGCCCAAATATCTGAAAAAAAACCTCAAACATTGAGGGATGCAAATGTGGGAAAGGTTAAAGTTGACATTTGCTGCCGCCTGCTTTTGGTGGCAGCATGTATTAGAGATATAAAAAAAATAATAAAATACACCCAAACTGTACATATTATAAGGCCGTATTTTTATCTCGGGGTTCTGGTGACACGTACAAACCACTTGAGCTTTGCTTCTGTGCTTTATATCGCCACGAGAAACCCTTGATAAAAATACAGCTTTATATTGTACAGTGGGGTATAGTTTATTTTCCCCATATATCACACCATGTGTTTTATTTATAAACAGACCCAAAGACACTTGCACATGCAAAGCAGTTTTTTTATTGAAGTAATTCTGAGGTATCAATAACCCTGGATTAACTAACGCACTGCCACACAATAATTTTTGGGGGGCAGCAATGGCCTTTCTAAAGAGACATCCATGAAAATATGATAAAACACATAAAAAAATCAGTATTTCCATGTTACAATTTACGATTCCCATACTGGAAATTTCAGCTTCTGGTGGCTCGTACTCACAGAGAACCCTGCTAAAACCACCTCAAAATTTAACTTTAATGTCTCTTGAATCCTTCCAACGGAGAGGCTATGGGAAATAAAGCTTTGGAAAACAGAGAAACATGGAAATCTGAAGGAAAACTCAAATGATAAAGGAATGTGCTGCTGATAAAGAAGCAACTACGGTGAGCTTTCCAGTATTTTGCCAAATTTGGCTAATCAAACTGCTTATCCAAAATATGAAATTTGTCAGGATCATCTCTTCCCCTGCTCTACACAAAAAAAAAAAATATATATATATATATATTCCCATCTCCCCATGCAAAAAGAAAAAGCAGGAGTAAAGAATTCAACAGCTGCCTGCCTTTGCACAGATCTCACTGTGCTCCTTTAACTCCTGCTCAGGTGAAAAACCATTTTAAGCCCCAAAGTGGGGAGGGGGAGCTGGGCAGGGGCGGGCAGAGCCCAGCGTGCCAGGCTGGGCCACTCGCCGCGAGCCAGGCGCCTCCTCAGGGGGAAGCTTCCACCTCACATTTGCCACGTCCCTCCCACTCCCTTATCCCTGCTTTAATGGACATTAAAAATAGAACAAAACAGGGCTGGAGATGGGAACAAAATCCATGCACAACAGGCCTGGATCGCTGTAGTCATTCTGCTGTAAAATGCAAAAACAAGAAAGGGCAGCCGAGCTGCCTCCCCCAGGACGCATCCCGCTTTTTTAATATAGTGGTGCCACCACACATTTCACTTTGGATGTTGCATTATATTTATGTGTCACTCAAATATTTACCATTTTCCTGAATTCTGCAGGGTGCTCTGAGAGAGAGAGAGAGCTCATTGCAAGGCGAGGAGCCGTGGGTGTGCGCCGGGGCTGGTTAGCAGCCCTCTCCCCGTGCCAGCTTCTCCTTCTGCAGCTTCTCGTGGGACAGCAGCCACTCCTTCATCAGCTGTCCCCCGCCGTAGTTCCCGCTGTCCCCGCTGCTGCGGATCACCCTGTGGCACGGGATGATGATGGGGATCTGCAGAACACCCCAAAACCCAGGAGGAGCAAAGGGTGAGGCCGAGGGGAGACAGGAACAACGGGAGGTGTCCCTCAGTGCCCTGGTGGGGATCTGACACAGGCTGGGCTCCGTGGCCTTGGTGTCCTCCAGCCTGAATGATGCTGTGATTCCATGAGTCTGGAAATCCAGCACTGTAGAGGCCAGCAGCTGTGAGGCACTGGGCTGGCAGGGACGTGGAGCTCCCATGTCAGAGCACAAACAGAGCCCATCACCATCCCTGAAGATGTCCCATCACCCCAGTTCTCAGGAAATAACAGCCATGGACAGGAATTTTAATACATAAAAATGATGTAAAGTCCTTAAAAGGATAAACCCGAGATATTAAATCCCATATATAAAATGTTCCCTGCAGCACCAGGTCCTGCTGCCCTGCGCCAGCTGAGCCCTCCGTGCCCAGGGTGGGGAACGAAGCCTCAGAGACCCAAAATGCACTTGAAGAACTCTTTAAATTGTTCCCTGGCAGGGTGGGCAGCCCTGGCACAGGTGCCCAGAGCAGCTGGGGCTGCCCCTGGATCCCTGGCAGTGCCCAAGGCCAGGCTGGACCCTGGGGCTGGGAGCCCCTGGGACAGTGGGAGGTGTCCCTGCCAGGGCAGGGTGGGAATGGGATGAATTTTAAGGTCCATTCCCATTCAGCCCATTCTGGGATGCCATGATCATCCCAGGACTAGGAGATTTCTGGGAAGAAATAGATTATTGAGAAGGGATCCAGTGCCTGAGCTCCCCAGCAGATCCTCTTCCTGCTGCAGCACCTCCATGTGCACCCTGGAGAAATGCTCTGGAAGACCAAGGCATTATTTATTATTTAGCAGCCAGCCAATCCAAAATGGGCTGTGAATTTTTAAAACCTCCAACAGGAGAAGTTTGATTCCGACCTAACCGATTTTAAGAACTCTTTTTTTTTTTTCCTCCTCTCTGCCTTCTACTCCCTATCATTTATAACCACAAGACACAGATTCTGCAAAATCAATGCCAGAAGTTACATAATGGACTGATAATGCAGAGGAGAACATAAACGTGGGGGGTTTTTTAATTTTTTTTTTATTTTTTATTACAGGTGATTATCATAGCTGAAGTACACACCATAAAAACTGCCATACATCATCTCTAATCACGGGAGTGTTTTGGTGACTGCATAGTAATGGCATTGCAACAGTGGGGCTGGGACAACATCACTCACCTAAAAGGGCAGTTCCCACAAATCTGGGGATCTCAAGTCAAAAATTGTAATTTATTTCTGTGTAGACACACAGAAAAATTGCACACTTTACCCTCACTTATTTTAATCCCATTTAACCACACAGTTCAAGCACTGTGGTGTATTTGAGCCTAGGATACACAAACCCCAAAGTAGCTACTGGCCAGACCATAAATTGAGAAGGGCTTTTTTGGGGGGTGTTCTTTCAGTTTACTCAACTAATTTCAGTGCCTGAAATCTAAAATCTTAATCTCAGCCCATGTGAGAGTACACACAGGTGCTAATTGTTGATCAGGGTTGAAATAAAAAACTGCTTCCAGTATCTGCTTTATTTGGAGGTGGCAATGCCACAAGTGATGAATCCATCTGTGACAGCTCCAGTGAGTACCAATAAAAGCTTTGCTCCATGCCAAGCCATCCCACTGTAGGTTTATGACTTCTTCAAAGAAATTTGGGGTTTTTTTTTTTTTTGCAAGTGTTTTTCTGGTTTGGGGTTTCTCTGCTTTTTTACACTTCCCGCAGTTACTGCAGGAGGCTTGGCTTGAGTGACAAAGCCATAATAATACACTGTAAAACATCTCTGAGGTTCATTTGCAATTCTTTAAAAATACACACAGCAAAGCAGCAGAGTTTGGTGGCAAGGCTATAAATCTTGGTGGAGAAAGAGAAAAAAAAAGGACTTTATTTTCAGTTGTGGGGTCTTGGATGATCCCTGAGTGGGTGCAGGACCTGCTCACAGCACAGCAAAGTGGGGCTGAGCTGTCACCACCCAGCAAACAGAGGAGGTATGAAATTAATGCCACTTTTTCCATGGCCAAAACAAAGAATTCCACACTGAGATTGTCCCAACACAAGCACCCATCCGTCACCCTCCATAGCTCTGGATGCAGAAGTGGTACAAAGACCATACCAGCGCTGTAATTTAAAAATATTGAATATTGCTTCAGTTTGGCTTAATTGTGGTGACAACGTTCAGCCTACTAAAATAATTAAACCTGCTAAAATTTATTAGGGCCCTAAGGACATTTTAGAGGGAGAACTACCCTAGTCTGGAGCTTTAATGCCTCAGCTACATTTAATGTAATTTTTATCAATAACCAAGCAGCTCATAATATTATAGCACCGCTGAAATCTTCATGCTGTGAAATCTAATTCCTCTCCTCCACGAATCCATCACGCACGCAGCCCCTACCTCAAACGCTATAAAACTTCCAAACCCAGAGATTTGTCTCCAACAAAAAAATAATATGAAGGAGCCCTCGGATCGATGCCGGAGTCCCTCTGATTCAGGCACCAGCTGAATATTTTCTCCAACTTCGCTTTTGTTCTTCTGGGTAGAGGCCCACAAGGGAAAGAGCTTGTTTTCACTCGCAGCCTCATCAATACCTAAATCCTGGTGAACAAGTGACACTGAGAAGCTGTAATCAATAGCTCCCTGTGCGTTTTTTCTTCTGGTCAAATGGTTCAGCACTACTGACAGCCCTGATACTCGGAACATGATGCTAAATCTTTATCAACAGCCATCTGGGTGAGTGGCAGAACAAGGCTGGGCCGGTCATTAGCGCTCCTGGGCGATCTGTGAATAAACCAACTCCTCCAGAATGCGTTTGTTTAGGGAAAAAAGGTGGGGGGAAAGCTCCCTGCCCACAGGATGGATCACTGTGAACTGCTTTTAGGGAATTTCGGTGCTCTGGCTGCTCCCAGTGCTCAGTTTGAGGTGAGGGAAATGTCCCATGGCGTGGCTGGAGAGCTGCTGATGTGCCGGGCTCAGCCAGGGTGAAATGGAAACAGCTGAGATGGGATCACACTGAGACACACTCAGCAAAAACCAGACTCGTGGTTTGCTCATGTCACAGAATCCCAGACTGGCTCAGGCTGGCAGGGACCTTAAAGATCACCCAGTTCCAACCCCTGCTTTTTCTCCACCTCTTCCCCAGCAGAAACAAATCCCGTGATGTGACCCAAGGAAGCAAAGGTATTGGGAATGAAAATAGTAGGGAAAGGTTCATCCCCAGAGGGTGCTGGGCACTGTCCAGGCTCCCCAGGGAATGGGCACAGCCCCGAGGCTGCCGGAGATGCCCAGGTGGGATTTTGGGGTGCCTGTGCAGGGCCAGCAGCACCTGTGCTTCCCATGGACTGCTCTGGGAACAGGGCTGGGAAATATCCTTCTGTCACAAGGAATTGTGGAGTGTGTGCTGGGGCAAAATGAGGGACAGTGAGATGTGGTTTGGAGGTGTGAGGCTTGATGGGAATCACTGGATGATCCTTGGGTCCCTTCCAGCTCAGGACGTTCCCTGGTTCAGTGGATGAAAACACAGGCACTTTGATGTGTCCATGGTGTTTCAGATCCACCCACCACAATTTTCTCACAAATGCACAACTGCTCCCCCAGCGTTCCAAACATTTTGGTTGAGTATCCGTGATGTAGCTCAATGTTATATCCATGATTCAGGATGGATTGGTGCAATATCCTTGATTTAGGACAGATTGGTGTGCCCCTGGTTGGGGTGAGCCCAAGGACCAGCACGGTTGGAGAGGGCACAAACCCAGTGCAGAGAGCTCCGAGTGCTGTGATCAGACCTCTGAAGATGTCTTATTTAAGGCACAGAACACTCATTTAGGATGGCCTTGGACTAATCAGCCCAACATTCTCCATTTCCCATGAGCTTCTGTGATTTCTTTTTGATCCTCCTCTACCAGTCTAATGAGATTTTTAATTGAACTTTATGGGTTCCCTTTGAGGACCACAGACCTCGCAGTCAGTGTGAACCACAGCAAACTCTGGGAAGCCCCTCCTGTCAAAGGTGAGCCATCCCCACCCTGTCCTGGGCATGAACTGAGGCAGCTGCTGCTGCTGGCACCTCTTCCACCTTCTCGTGAAGCTGAAGCTCAGGCCAGGAATTAAGTGGAGCATCCCAGCTGCAAGGGGAAACCTGTGGAATGCGCTCTGCCCAAAGAGAAGACCAAGCCTTGACTCACAGGAGGGAGAAATGTGCTGGTGTCTGGTGGGGGAAGGTGAGTTTGTGATTTTATCCAAGTGTTTGAGGGACAAATGTGATGACAACGTGATGCCCAGCTCAGGGTTATTTCAAAGGGCCCTTTTTCCTGATACTGCCACCCTCATTAAATGAGGGTTATCACAAATCCATCCTCCACCACACCAGGATGCTCCAAGCCCCATCCAAGCCTTGAGCACTTCCAGGGATGGGTTTGGGGTTTGGATGAGGGTTTAGACCCTGGGTAGGTCTTGAGCAATCTCTGACCTCTCATGTTTTTTCACACTGGTCTTCTCAGTATTGTCTTTAATCAGATTTCTACGAGGCTGCAAGGTGGAGTTGCAAATTGGGTCAGAAAATCTGTTTTCGCAAGAGTTGACGGCTTTATACACAGAAATAACAAAGGTGAGGGTTTTTTTTTTTGCAGTGCCACATTTTATCTTTATCTCTCACCTCATGCATAAAATCCGTGTGTATTGCACACAGCCAGCCTGCACATGATGGCTCACAGGCGAAGGACCAGGAGACATTTCTGGGGTAAATATCAGGGGCAGTGAACAGTTGCTCACACTCAGGTGCAAAAGGATGATGTGTGTGTGTGTTTGCATGTGGAATATGGATGGAATTTCAGATTACCTCCAGGAGATGAGCAGTGGCAAAATTGTGGTTTGCGATGGGCAGGACTCTCATTACAGCACTGATTTTTTTTTTTTTTTTTTTAATCATCAGCTTTCTATGATGAAATATTGAGGTGGTATTATATTAATACAGCTCTTTTCCCTACAGCTATACATTATTATCTATAACCATAGCTTAAAAATTTTCTGCTGGGGACGGAAACCACTGCAGCCACGGTATGGGCTGGGAAATGGCAATAATAACTAGGACCCCATTTAAAAAAAAATTGCAGGAGCTTTGCTGTATATTTTCAGAACTATTTTCATCCTTCCTCACAGGGGAAAAAGCAGGAATTTTCACACCACAACCTGCTGTTACTGCTACTTTGGATGCTGCTGCTCCACTGCAGCCTGAGGGCAAAGCTGGGTACATTTCTAGGCGATGGCAATTACATCTCCTTTTGCACAACACTGGATTGTTATTCTTTGAGAACTGTTTCCTGTAGGTTTGCATTGGATTGCCTTATCTTAATGTACACCAGATTATATTGGAAAGCATTCCATCATATTAAAATAGTTTGTATTGTCAAGTACAATGCGGGCTATTGACAAAACACTGCTCACAGGAGCTGCTTCACAGGGACAGCTGATGGATGCTGCAAACAGCAGGGTGGGCTCAAAGCTTAACCCCACATGGAACTGTGTGGGTCTCCCTGTCTGGGTGCTGCCTGTGGGGAATTGTGGAATGAGATGGGCTCTAAGGTCCCTTCCAACCCAGATTGTTCTGGGGTTGTTTGGCTCTGTGGGTTTAGGGATTGAACTGCTCCTCAAACAGTGCAGGCACATCCAGCTGAGCCCCCAAACCCTCCGAGCCAGGATGGGGCTGATCCCAACCCATACAGCACCCACTGAACACCACAGCAGCTGCACACACCCACCCAGGTGACTCAGGGGCATAAATACACGTGAAAAGCTAAGCCCAGACAAAGAAAAGGGAAAACAGACACAGATCACTTAGCAAAAGAACATTTTTTCCCCAAATCCACAGGCTTAACCTGGAGTGCTGCTGCCTCCAGCAGGTTCAAATTCAGGCAACTCACCTCCAGAATCCCAGACTGGCTGGGGTTGGAAGGGACCTGAAACTCATCCCATTACATCCCTGCCAGGGGCAGGGACACCTTCCACTGTCCCAGGGTGCTCCTGGCCTTGTTTTCAGAATTGTACTTATGCCAGAGTGGATGTTTTTAACACAACCAAAACCACTCATAATCTGCCAACTTAAGCCCACGTGGAAGATAAAAGACTTCCCCAGCCTAAAAATACACAAAGAAGTTTGAGAACAACAAACTGTGCAGAGGCTGGTGAGCAACAGGAGCGTTCCTCGTCCCAACCCCACCCCATAAACGACAGGGCATAAATCACACTAACCTGGGCTGTGCATTATGGCTGATTACAAACACTTACTGACCTTACTCCCCATGGCAGCCCCGTTTTCAGAGCAGATAAATTTAACCCCCCAGAGCCCTCCAAACGCAGCCTCCCCCAGCAGCTCTGGGCTGGCAGGTGCCCTGCACTCACCGGGTTGCTCCTCATGGCTCCCCCCACGGCTCGAGCTGCCCGGCTGTTGCCAGCAAGATCCGCCAGCTGCTTGTAGGAAACGGCCTCCCCAAACTTGACATCGTTCAGCAGGGTCCACAGCACCTGCCTGGTGAAGGAATCTGCAAGGCACAGGGAGAGAGCACTGCTGGACTGGAGAAATTAGGATGGGACGGTCAAAAACCCCAACGCAAAGCCAGGCTCGATGGCAGGTTTGTAATTTAAACTGGAGCAGCCCCGTGCACTGTCCTGCTCTTGTGCCCTGTATGGCTACATTTAAATACATGATTATTGCAGAGAGCGCTTGGAGTAGCTGATCACTATAAAAAAAGGATTTAAGGCTTTGATTTCCCTATATTTTTAATTTGCTTCGAGTACAATTATCCTGTTAGCTCGTACAATGTGGCTTTTCCCATTAAATTGGCGGGGTATAAATTAGCATAGAGCCAAATGAAAAGGGAAGGAATAAGTGGCTGTACCTCTCTGACAAAGGCCTGGCATCTCCAGCTAATTTCCAACTTCAGCTGGGACGTGCCAGGGACGCCCTAGAGCCAGCAAACTCTGAATTATCCTGGCTGACTGCATTTCATAGTGGGGAGCCCCGAGCTACTGCTCAGCACTGCACACACTGCCAAGTGTAAGGACTGGCTGTGACCTTGAATGTCCTGCACATCCTTAATGATGCAGGGGGGGGAAAAAATATATCTAATGTATCGGCCATTATTTTAATTTTAATTCGGCAGCAAATTGCTTTAAGTGTTCCAATTGCTGAAATAATGAATAAGCAAATGCATTAGGAGAGGCTTTCTTTGGCATCTCAGGGTGTCACCCAGCCCAGGGTGGTTTCAAGGAAGGAAAAGGGATAGTCCTGTTTGGATTTGAGCTGGGTTGAACACCTCTTGCTCCTCCAAGGCACCTGGAAAAGCTCTGAAGAGCCAACTCTTGGATAACTTACTGAGAGGAGTGAGCTGGTGACTGAAAAAGGGGGAAAAAAGGAGGAGAGACCTCTTCCCCCAGCTGAGGGCCTCAACCTCCTGCTCTGGCAAGGAAACAAACTGATTAAAAACATTTTCTTTCTTTAGTTGTCAAAGAAGACATTGATTACCTTCCGTAGGAAGGTAAAGAAATGTGATTTTGTTCTTAAAGGAAACCCATACGGCGTTATGTGTGTGTTAAATAATAAAAATCACTTCTTAACTGAAGGGAATGATAATCACTTCATTGAAAAAATCTGTTTAGTCTTTATTATAACATTAAGCAAATTAAACATCAGCATAATCCAGGTGATACGAGAAAAGGGTCATCAAAGAAATTAACTTTGTTGTTCATTAATTTACATGGATTAGTAGAGGGCAAAGAGATAGCAAATCTGCTCTAGTTTTTTATGATATAATTTCAAACTGTACACCATTTGTGGCAGTAGGGTGACTTTGGGGTTAATCAGACTGATTTGTCCTTTTAATTGCTTTCTATTCAAAGAAAATTCATTAGATAATGTTCTCTTCAAAATTCATGAATCAATTTAACTGAAGAAACCACATTAACAGCTTTGGGTTCATTAGCACAAGCAGTTGTGTTACTGGCTGATTGCTACCAGGGTTTCCTTAGGCAAACAGATTTTGTTTACTGTGATTCCTTCAGAAAGGTTTATTTCAAATCAAACTGCTCCTTCTTATTTTCTTAACCTGTTTCATCTGCCAGGATTAGCTTTACCCTCCCTGCTCAGGGGTCCTGGGGAGTCACTGCCCCATGGCATCTTTTAAATGGCCAGAAAATTCCTTTGTTACTCTCCCTTTTGGCCGGTTGGGATGGGATGGACCTGAAACTTTTGGGAACCTGTTGGAATCAGGGAGAAAACGGAGCAAAGTGCACCTGGACAGGGAGCAGCTGGGGGAGGATGGGGCAGCCACAGAGCCCCAAGTGATGCCCAAACTCCCAAGGACAGGCTGGCACAGGGGCACAGATCATCCTCCTCTCCCACACAGGGACACAGAGGCAATCCGTGCCTCTGCTCCCACATAAAACACTCGTGGAGGGTTCACAAGGATGAAATATTCAGCAATCGTGCACATCATTTTGGAAACGTTATCTGAAAACTCAGTTTCATCCTGCGGGGAGCAAAGGCATTAATTAATTATTTTAATTAATTAGTTTAAGCAGCTCGAAGAGGCAGTGCCAAATGCTGTTCCTGAACTGTCTGCAGGTGTGAGTGCCCGTCAGCACAACCTGCCCAGATGAGGTGGGTGAACTTTGCCCAATTTTCAGTGTGCCAGCATTTTTATGCTGTTAAATGTCCTTATAAAGTGCTGTGAAATCCCCCCACAAGAATGAACACACAGGAATTCTCTGGCTCCATGGGAACTCCCTGTCCTGGGGAGGCTGATCAACAGGAGCACCATGAGGTTTTGTCCTTCCTGTGCCCCCACCTGCACGTGGGGTCAGCAAAAACCCCTCCAGGGGCCCAGGAGAGCCCCTGACCACCAGGGACACCTGGCACCACCCCAGGTGCTCCAAACCCCAGTGTCCAGCCTGGCCTTGGGCACTGCCAGGGATCCAGGGGCAGCCCCAGCTGCTCTGGGAATCCCATCCTGTTGGAAACTGAGAATTTTGGACTTTCAGCTGGCAGGCACTGACCCCCAAGGGAACACTGCATTGACCTGAGGCCATGGAGAAGCTTCCAAAATGGAATGGCAGAACTGGGATTGTGGGTGTGGAGTTTGAGTAGAAGTGTGTGATATCACAGGCTGGGAAACTCAGAGCTGAAGGGTTTAGAATACAGTAATATAGGTAAAGCAAGATGGAGGTTTTAGGGTGGAGGCTGATCCTTGTTCTTCACCTTCTTCTCCATGGGTTTGGGTGGTTTTGTGTAATTGGATAAAAAAGTCCACATTGCAGATCACAGGTGGTTGGTTATTAAGTTTAAAGTAAAAATAATTGAGGTGTCATTTCTTAATTGGACAGTTTATCCTTAAAAGGCCTTGTATAGAGAGAGAGATGGGGCTCCATTTTCAGTTTGTTGAAGTGCTGCAGAACTCAGCGTTTGTGAGACTGTGACACTAATAAACACCTGAGTCCCAACAAGAAATATCCTCTCCAGGGTATTAATCCAGGGTTGGGATTAAATACACATTTAATCCCAACCCTGGCAGAAGAAAAAGAAGTGAAGGCTTGACATTAGTGGTGATCCTGTGTGAGGAAGAAACCAAAGGATTGAGACCTCCCTGAAGAACAAAGAAGATAAAACTCAACACCATCCCATCCCCTCCCCACCCTCACAGGGAAGAATATTTCCAGATAAATTACCCTGAACCTGTTGTTAATGCCTAAATGCTCAGAGGTCCCTCCTACCAGCCCACTGGGCCTTAATGCTCCAAACAAACATGTGAAATCCATGGGGATAATGGAGAGAAAATCAATTTTACTTGAACACCAGCTGTATCATAACTTTTGACAGTGTAACTGAAGGTGGGAATTAGTCCAAAGAAGGAAAATCATACACTTCTAACTAATAATTATGGAATTATGGAATGGTCTGGGTTGGAAGGGACCTTAAAAATCACTTTATTCCATCCCCTTGCCATGGGAAGGGACACCTTCCACTAAATAATATCTATTATACATTATTTACCTATACATATATGTTTGTATCTAATCTCCAACAAGGATTTTTGGGGTTGGTGAGGGGCTCAGTCCCTCAGGATTCAGGATGGATGAGGGACGAGCAGAGGGAGCAGTGCCAGTCCCCTCCTGTCCCCTCTGTATCCCACAGCCTGATGTTCCACCCTTTTTTAATCTCTTTGATTAAGAGGAATTAAAGACAGACTGGTTTTTCCTTCCCCTCAACCCTGATTGCTGGGAATGTTAGTTTTTGTTTGTCGTGTTGGTTTATTTTTGTGGTTTTTTTTTCCCCTGCTTTTCTTTTTGTTTGTTTGTTTTTCCCCCAGAGTTTTGCAAATGCAAAGACAGTTATAAACACTTGCTCCTCCTCGGCAGCTTTTTCACAGCCTGCCTGGGGTACTGCACAGACAACTTTTCTCCTTGTTTTTTTTCACTCATTGGTTCTGTTATTACTATTAGCAAAAAAAAAAAAACCAAAAAAGACAAACCCAAAACATTCAAGCACAGCAGTTGAAAAATACCCAAATCTGTTTGGAAAACAGCAGCTCCCACCTGAGCCACAGAACTCAAACTGGCTCCTGGATCTGGGAAGAGCAGGCTCACACTCACACTGCAGAACTCTTTCTGACAACAAATGGTGTCAGCCATTAATCCAAGCAATAGAGAAGATTTTGAGCAATTTTGAGACTTATTCCCAAAGCCACGTTAAACCCGTCACCCTAGCACAAACTGACCTAGCAAGTGATACGTGAAGATATAATTTAATAATTTGTTTAATTCAAATGTTTTTCTCTTTCTATGAGGCTGCCCCTGGATCCCTGGCAGTGTCCAAGGCAAGGCAGGCACGGCTTGGAGCACCCTGGGACAGTGGAAGGTGTCAGCCCACGGCAGGGGTGGCACTGGCTGAGCTCTGAGGTCCTTTCCAGCACAAACCAGGCTGTGACTCCATCAAATATCAGGCACTTTTATTAAGATTTTATGCATTGCCTGTGCATGTATGTTTGTAAAATGTGATATAATAAAACAGAAACGCAACTATAATATAGAAACTTGCTGTCTGTCTGCACCACTTCAGTGAGAAATGGACCAAAATGCTTCCTTTTAACACCTTGAACGTCCAGGCTGGCTCACACTGAGTGTGAGCTGCATTCAAACCCAATTAATGGGAGCTGTTCCCAGTCCCTGCTTTAACACAGTTTTACACACGGCTCCCTTCAGGTTTCTGAGGGGGTTGTGGGGCCAAATTCTATCCTTAGAAGCAAGGAACTCTCCCTGGAGCTCATCCAGCAGCATTTCTGCAGTTAAACTCCCTGGAAGTCAGGGGGTGTTTAGCTCCAGCAGTAACTGATATTCTGACCCATTTTTTACACAATACCTCGAGAGCAGTTCACTGCAACCTGCAGGAGCAGGTGGAATTTTAGAGCTGACGGAAATGAGCAGCTGGAAGCTCAGCAGTGGCCCTTGGAACTCCCATTTCCAACCCCAAACTTCCAACCCCAAACCC